ATATATATTTATAATTTTAATAAATGACAAATTAAAAAGGCATGAACATTTTTTTTGTATCGAAAAAATATCGAACCGTGACACCAAAGTATCGAACCGAACCGTGAATTTTGTGTATCGTTGCACCCCTAATATATACTACTGACATTTGATAAGTTTAACTTCAATGTTGTTTGTATTGTGATAAATACAGCTATAAAAACAGTGACACACAATTAGCAAAAAATCATAATATGATACATCCATTTTTTCCTCCTACCTCTAGTATGTACCGCAGTTAGTTATATTTACATATGAGTTGCCAGTGGAAAGACATGCGTCATGATATGAAGAATAAGCAGCACATGCTCACAGTTGCTTGGTTGAGAACTATCACATGGATCCCTCTGCCTTGTTCTCGCATGTCATCTTCCAGCACCTGCAGGAACAAGTAAAATAAAGAAAAACAATATTTTTACTGAGCCAAGTGTGTCAGACACTAATCTTATTAGTGTCTGACACACTGACTTCATTGCCAGTGGCAGTCTAAGATGGTAAAGTTATCCACGTGATGAGAAACTTACTGGAGACTAATTTGTATTGTTGTTGCTGTACATGGTATTATTTATTAAATACAATATAATTCTGTGAGAAATGTGGCATGTGAATGCTCGGCCAGAAGAAACAGTCTGACGCTTTGTGTCTATCATTAACCAAATTCATTATAAAGGATTATTACCATTTTGAACATGAGTTCAATGACATTAAAAAGCCAAAATTTAAACACCTTGCATTACCAATATTTCCCTTGACAAAATAGAATTCAACTGAAAACCTAACAACAAAATGAAGGTTAGTGGGAGGAAAGATTAGTCTAGGATGTATAGATTGTCTTGAAAACTGCAATGGTGAGAGGCCCAAGCAGCAGCTTGCTTGGTCTGAGTAAGATTGTTGTTGTCTTCAGGCACCTGGAAAGTTAGTGAGACCAAACCCTCTGTTGTTGTGTGAGTCTGTTATATTAGCTAAGCCCCTTTGAGTATTAAAGCAGTATGTCTCAAGTAACCTGTCAGTAGGCATCAGCCAGTTAACCAGTTAATCACCCACCGTGGTGCCATCTACTGCCACGTAGACCTTGGAGCGGCTGGAGTACACCTCAATGTCGAGGACTTTGCGTCCATTAGCCGGCCTGCGTGCTGTCTCCATGTTAGGAATAACATCCTCTAAAGAGAGAAAAACAAACATCAAGATCAAAATGATGCACTTCATAATAAAACTACACTTTAATGGAACACAGTGTATCAGAAGGTTAATGAGTGATGGGTGAATATTAGGGGTGCAACGATACTTGTATCGATATTGAACCGTTCGATACAGTGCTTTCGGTTCGGTACGCATGTGTATCGAACAATTTTTAAATTTATTTTATTAACTTTTCTTCTGACGATGCTGTCTGTGTTGAGCGCTCAGTGAATCTGCGTTCGACTACTCCGCCTAGGCTGCACTGTCGAGCACAGATCCACTGAGTGCCACCCACATGCATTCAATCAAGCTAGCGAGACAGAAGCTAAGCTCATTGCAACATGGCAACTGCCTTAATGCCTCCCGAAGCTGAACCTCCTCCACAGTCATTGAAATCTGGCGTTTGGAACTTTTTTGGCTTTCGTGTGAAGTATGACCCTGATGGTAAGCGCGTTGTGCACAAAACTACAAAAGTATGTCGGATGTGCCACGCCATGGTTAATTACATCGGTGGCAACAACAAATATGAATGCACATTTACGCCGACATCACCCTAGTGCAAAGACGAGTGAAGGCAGCCAAAAACAACAACAAACACACATGCTACACACTTTGCCAGAGTCATTTAGACAGCCGTTAGCACATGATTCTAAGAGGGCAAAAGAAATCGACAGGGCAATTGCTACTTTTATTGCTGTCGACATGCGACCCTTTTCTGTTGTAGAAAACACCGGGTTTCAGGAAATGCTGAGAGTACTTGAGCCCCGTTACAGTATTCCTTCACGAACCTATGTCACCGATATCGCAGTTCCCGCTTTGTACAAGGAGACAAAAGCAAAATTAGAGACGGCAGTGTCAGCAGCACCCGCTGTTGCTCTGACCTCACGGCTGGACGTCAAGAGCTACCTCACTGTCACCGCACATTACATTGATCCGGAATGGCACATGAAAAACTGTGTTTTGCAGACACGCCTGGTCGAAAGTCACGCCACTGACGACTTAGCCAAAGGTCTCTCTGAAGCTGTGGAAGACTGGAAGTTAGTGCGACCAAATGTGACAATACCTGTAACTACTGACAATGCTAAGAACATAGTTAATGCCGTCACAGCTGCTGGACTGGGGCCACAAATCGGATGTTTTGCACATACAATTAATATAACTGCTCAGAAAGGAATGGCAGTGCAGAAGGTTTCCCCATCTCCTAGCAAAGATGAGAAGAATTGTCTCCTTCTTTCACAGAAGCACAACAGGATGCAATGTGTTTA